ACAGACAGGAGAGAAAGGGAAGGGGAGGGGTTGTGCACAGAGAGACAGACAGACAGGCAGGAGAGAAAGGGAAGGGGGAGGGTTGTGCACAGAGAGACAGACAGACAGGCAGGAGAGAAAGGGAAGGGGGAGGGTTGTGCACAGAGAGACAGACAGACAGACAGGAGAGAAAGGGAAGGGGGAGGGGTGTGCACAGAGAGACAGACAGGAGAGAAAGGGAAGGGGAGGGGTTGTGCACAGAGAGACAGACAGACAGGCAGGAGAGAAAGGGAAGGGGGAGGGGTGTGCACAGAGAGACAGACAGGCAGGAGAGAAAGGGGAGAGGGAGAGGGCGAGCGAACACGAGGAAAATCCGTGACATCTCTGAGGCCCTGAGCCTTCCCCCTGGGGCCACTGTGGACGCTCTCAGGTATTTCTTCCTGAGTATGCGTAGGTGTGTATGTGTTTATACATACACATGTCCACAGGAGAGAAAATGAGATCCAACTGCCAGTACCATTTATTACTCTCGCTTTCCACCCAATATCTTTAAATTTAATTTTAGAATAGGCATGGGGTATAACCATATAAAAGTGAAGTTAATTTTTATATATTGATCTTTGTGATCTGGCTGGACTTGTTTATTGTATGTGACAGTTTTTGATCGTTTCTTACTTTGTGTACATATGATTCTATCACCCAAAAAGTCAGTTTCAGGCCTTCCCACTCCAGATGAGTTGCGTTTCTTTTTCCTGATCTCTGATTGTTTGTTGTGTTCCCAATTGTAGTGGACGTTTCCAGGACTTTGCCATTAAGTTGTGGGCTTTGCATGCCTGGCGCAGTAGCATGCAGGAAGCCCCCTTTATTGCTAGTCTGTTTGGTGTTTAATTTCTGTGTAATATTTTTGTCTGTTGAGATGATCATATGGTCCAGGCTTTACTCAATTTATTATAGCACATCAGATGAATTTCTTTTCTTTCTTCCTTTTTTTTCTTCCTTCCTTCCTTCTTTCTTTTTTTCCTTCCTTTCTAATTTGTGTTGATTGGAGAACAACTCCCATGTGTGTTTGAATACTTGGTCTCCAGTGGGTGGAGCTGTTTGGGAAAGACTCCTAGGCTTGCTAGAGGAGGTGTCACATCTCTAGCACGCTTTGAGGTTTCAAGAGAGTGATGCCATTCCCATTGTGATTTTCTCTGCCTCCTGCTTTGAAGTTTGAGAAAAGAGTTCTCATCTATGCCTTTGTTCCCCCATCATGGACTTGAACCCTCTGAAAACGGAATACTAATTAAACATTTTCTTTTGTGAGTTCGTTGGCCATGGTGCTTCACTACAGCAGCAGGAGAGTAGCTAGTGTGATTCTCCACCAGCTTCACACTTCACTACAGCAGCAGGGGAGTAGCTAGTGTGATTCTCCACCAGCTTCACTACATCAGCAGGGGAGTAGCTAGTGTGATTCTCCACCAGCTTCACACTTCACTACAGCAGCAGGGGAGTAGCTAGTGTGATTCTCTACCAGCTTCACTACATCAGCAGGGGAGTAGCTAGTGTGATTCTCCACCAGCTTCACACTTCACTACAGCAGCAGGGGAGTAGCTAGTGTGATGCTCCACCAGCTTCACTACATCAGCAGGGGAGTAGCTAGTGTGATTCTCCACCAGCTTCACTACAGCAGCAGGGGAGTAGCTAGTGTGATTCTCCACCAGCTTCACACTTCACTACAGCAGCAGGGGAGTAGCTAGTGTGATGCTCCACCAGTTTCACACTTCACTACATCAGCAGGGGAGTAGCTAGTGTGATTCTCCACCAGCTTCACTACATCAGCAGGGGAGTAGCTAGTGTGATTCTCCACCAGCTTCACTACATCAGCAGGGGAGTAGCTAGTGTGATTCTCTACCAGCTTCACTACAGCAGCAGGGGAGTAGCTAGTGTGATTCTCCACCAGCTTCACTACAGCAGCAGGGGAGTAGCTAGTGTGATTCTCCACCAGCTTCACACTTCACTACAGCAGCAGGGGAGTAGATAGTGTGATGCTCCACCAGCTTCACACTTCACTACAGCAGCAGGGGAGTAGCTAGTGTGATTCTCCACCAGCTTCACTACAGCAGCAGGGGAGTAGCTAGTGTGATTCTCCACCAGCTTCACACTTCACTACAGCAGCAGGGGAGTAGCTAGTGTGATTCTCCACCAGCTTCACACTTCACTACAGCAGCAGGGGAGTAGATAGTGTGATGCTCCACCAGCTTCACACTTCACTACAGCAGCAGGGGAGTAGCTAGTGTGATTCTCCACCAGCTTCACTACAGCAGCAGGGGAGTAGCTAGTGTGATTCTCCACCAGCTTCACACTTCACTACAGCAGCAGGGGAGTAGCTAGTGTGATGCTCCACCAGCTTCACACTTCACTATAGCAGCAGGGGAGTAGCTAGTGTGATGCTCCACCAGCTTTACACTCCTGGTAAGCACGGCTTGGTCATTGTGCGTGGTCCTTCAAGGATGTCCATCATTTTACATTGTATCATGATGTCATCTTCAAATGTTGGGCTGTGTTCATCTCTCTCCCCGGACACCTAAGGCAGGCAGTGAGTTCCACTTGTTTATTTCATGTTCCCTCGGTGAAAAACTCAGACACAGTGAAGGGCAGTCTTGGAGACTGCACACATTTTATGTGTGTTGCTAGCCCTACCTGTCTGTGCTGCTCCCTGTTGAGTTGACCCCTGCTGCTATTTTATTCCTTTTCAGCCAGCAGGGCAGTCACTTTGAGCTCACACTTACCAGCACAATCACACTCTTTTCTGCTCCTGTAATGCTGTAGAAAAGGGACAATAGCCAGAGCTGAACCAAGCCAGGGATTCGGAAAGTGGGCAAACTTGCCCAAGATGCCCGTGGAGCAATGACTCAAAGATAATTTTATTGTTAATTTTCAATTCCAAGAAACATATTCCCAACAACATGATCCCTGTGCAGTCTAACCTAACACTAATATTTTCAGAGCACGGTTAGCAATGAGTGAGTGGTGTTGATGAAGCTTAGGAAGTGGTTCCTAGGCTCTCATCAGCTCATTGCAGGAAACCAGCCCTCATGTCTGAAGTTGGGAGGCCTTATTCCCTTCGTTATCTCTTTCTTCTGCACATTATTAGCTCTTTGAGAATGTTGTATAATGCACTTTGATTACATTTATTCTTCTTTCCCAACTCCTTTCAGGTGTACTTCTGCTTCTATGCCCATCCAATTTATCTCTCTCACTCTCTTCCTCCCTCTCTCCCTCCCTTCCTCCCTCCCTTCCTCCCTCTCTCCCTCCCTTCCTCCCTCCCTTCTTCCCTCTCTCCCTTCCTTCCTTTCTTTTTTAAAAACAACCCTCAAGTTCAGTTTTTGCTGTCCACATATTCTTGGATGTGTGTCCATCCACTAAAGCATTGCTGACCTACCAGGAGCTACAAGCAGAAAGGAAACTGACTCTCCAATTCTCACTCGCTATCAGTTGCCGATAGCTCCCTAGCTAGGACTGGTGCTTCGTGCCTCCCTTCCCTCTCCATGCTGGTATTTTGTCTGGTTTGAGCTTGTGCAGGTCTTTGTACATGCTGTCACAACTGCAGTGAGGTCACACCTACTTCACGTTTGATTTAGCTTTTTATATAATCTTATATCTTATAGTTAATATAGTTTATATTATTGACTGGAAGATAAAATAGTTCTTTTTTCTTTAACCGTTATCCTTATGTTTTGATTTATTGAAAATTAAATTTAATTGGAATTTAATAACTTAATATTCAACTGAAAAATTCAGAAGTTGTGATAAATGTGTTTTTTTCCTGGACAAGTATAAGGTCCTAACAAACATGTCCATGCTCTCTATGGGTTTGCTATAGGTTTTCTCCCTATAGGTTTGCTATAGGTGTGCTCTCTATAGGTTTGCTATAGGTGTGCTCTCTATAGCTTTACTGTAAGTGTGCTCTCTATGGTTTTTCTATAGGTTTTTCCCCTATAGGTTTGCTATAGGTGTGCTCCCTATAGGTTTGCTATAGGTGCGCTCCCTATAGGTTTGCTATAGCTGTGTTCCCTATAGGTTTACTATAGGTGTGCTCCCTATAGGTTTGCTATAGGTGTGCTCTCTATAGGTTTACTGTAAGTGTGCTCTCTATGGTTTTGCTATAGGTTTTCTCCCTATAGGTTTGCTATAGGTGTGCTCTCCATAGGTTTGCTGTAGATGTACTCTCTGTAGGTTTGCTGTAGATGTATTCTCTGTAGGTTTGCTGTAGATGTACTCTCTGTAGGCTTACTGTAGGTGTGCTTTCTATGGGTTTACTATAGTTTTCTCCCTATAGGTTTACTATGGGTGTGCTCTCTATAAGTTTGCTATAGCTTTTCTCCCTATAGGTTTGCTATAGTTGTGCTCTCTATAGGTTTACTATAGCTGTGCTCTCTATAAGTTTGCTATAGGTTTTCCCCTATAGGTTTACTATAGCTGTGCTCTCTCTAGGTTTACTATAGGTGCACTCTCTATAGGTTTGCTGTAGATGTATTCTCTGTAGGTTTATTGTAAGTGTGCTTTCTATGGGTTTGCTATAGGTTTTCTCCCTATAGGTTTGCAATAGGTGTGCTCTCTATATGTTTGCTGTTGCTAGAAAGAGGCTAAATTCTCACCAGTTTCGGTGGTCACTACTTTTTCTATGTCACTTTTTCCTTTTCTTGTAATACATTATTTGATTTTTCAGTGATATTTTGTAGCTACATTTGATATTTTGAAGTTCCATATTTTATCCGATAATGTCTGTTTTTTTTCTTCCCATGAAATAGAAGTTTGGTTTGTTGTAAAATTTCCATCGCTATAAACTTACTAACAACACTTTGAAAAACTCATCAATTTGGCATCTAAGCTGTGTAATTTTCTGTTCTTTAAAAATTGCTTCCTAAGCATCACCTTTATTTTTTGTCTTCTGAAGTCTATTGGATATAGTTTGAAACTCTTGAAGTATTATCCACAGGTCTTAACTGATCCTTCTGTTTTAAAATTGTCTTTTCAAGCTGAACCTGCAGGTAGGTAAGCCTAATGATATTTTCTTACCTTGCCTCTCATTAATAAGCGTGCAAAGTTCCTTCCATTGCTAGTTCTGTTGTGTTTCCCTTTGATTCTCCTGGACACTTGTAGAGGGTGGTCAGGCTTGCTACAATTTCACTGATACTAGTTATTCACTTAAGAAAGTAATCATTCATTTATGTCAGTCTGAAAGATTGTCAACCCAGAAAGCTACTTATAGACTGATGATGAAGATTGGTTAACGCTCCACCCAGCCAGGCCTCCCACATCCTAACCCAGGCTCTAGTCCCATGCGTCTTCCTGTCTCTCCACACCTATCCTTTCTCCAACCTGCCATAGCTAGCTCGGACCCCACATCCAATGCCCTAGCTTTGTCTGGCCACCCTTAACCTATACCACAACCAACCTCTAGGTGTCTGCCAGGGCCCGCCCTATCTACCCAGAGTCTACAGGTTCCTCACAGGCCATATGCAACCTTTCCATTCAGCCAGATCTATCCTGACACTATAGGCTTGGACCAGGAAACATATTTTACTGCCTCATCTCCTCTGTCCACCTGACTTGATTCTACCGAAGCCATTTCCAGCCTCCAGGCCCAATCTGCCCACACATCCTCTTTTCTGCCCCAATCTGCTCCATCCATATCACACTTAGAGCTAACAAAGTGAGTCCACATGCTCAGATCTCATCACAAAGATAGAAACAGTATGAAAGATCAAGTCAGTATTCAACTTCCAAATCTACCAGTCCCATAGAAATTACATAGATAAACTCAGGATACAGAATTTAAAAAATAGTAAATGTCATCAAGGAATCCAAGACTTTAAAGAAAACACAAAGAAATGGCTTGATGAAATTAAGGAGAAAGACTTTAAGAAGAAGAAATGTCTGAGTGATGCCTAAGAAAACACAAATGTAAGAGATGTAAATGACAAAGACAGTCTTGAGATTGGAGCTCAATCAAGAGATAGAAATATTGAAGAGTACTCAAACTGAAGTGAAAACTCTGTAGCTCAACTATAAAACTCAAAGGAAAAGCCTTACAAGAAGAATGAATCAAGCAGAAGATAGAATATCAAGACTAAAATATATCAAGGTAAAATAAAGGATCCAGATCAAATAAGCAAGGAGTATGAACAATCTTTAAAAATGCAGGAAAGGAATATGATAAATGTGGGACACTATGAAAAAACCCAAACTATGAAATATAGACATACAGGAGGGAGAAGATACCTTAATCAATGACATAGACTAGGTCTTCAACAAGATCATAGCAGAAAACTCCCCAAGCAAGGAAAGACACATCCGTACAGACACAAGAAGCATGCAGAACTGACAAGACTGGAAAAGAAAATCCATATCATAGTTAAAACACTAAGTATATGTAACAAAGAAAGCATTTTGAAAGTCATAAGAGAAAAATCCAAGTTACAAATAAAGAAAACCACATCAGAATAATGGCTGATTTCTCAATAAAACTCTGAATAACAGAACATGAAGCAATGCATTCCAAGTCCTGAAAGACCTAAAATAGTATACCCAGAAAAGCTATCTGCCATGATTAAAGGAGAAAAATTCACAACATAAAAAGCCTAAAAAATATATCTCCAATGCACCAAACCTAAGGAAAATACAGGAATATTATTTCAGGTTGAAGAGAGGTATGAGCATACCAGAGAGCCCGTGAAAAGAAGTATGATGTTATAATTATTAAAAGACAAATACACTGAGAATACAACAATGCCAAAAGTTAGCCACACGGTGGCTACAATTAACACACATATTTCAATAATAACTTTAAATATCAATGGCCTCAATTCTCCAATCAAAGGTAGACTAACTGAATAGAATACACCTATCTGTTGTCTGTAAGGAACACATCTTATCTTTCCACACAGGTACGGTTTTAGAGTAAAAGGATGGACGAAAATACTCCAGCCATATGGGACCAGGAAGCAAGCCATTGTCACTGTTCTAACATCTAGCAAATGGACTTCAAAATAAAGCCAGTCAGAAGAGAAAAAGAAGGATGCTTAATTCTACTCAAGGGAATAGTCAATTAAGAAGATAATACTATCCTAAAAATACTTGCACCAAACTCTGGGCACCCAAATTCATAAAAAAAAAATATCTACTACTGAAAGACACAGATTAACAATCAATTAATAGTGTGCTAGCCCATTACCCCACTTACTTCAATAGACAGATCATATGAACAAGAATAAAGAAATATCAGAATTAATTGATATCACACATCAAATGGACTTAACAGTTATCTACAGAATATTCCAGCTAAATAACAAAGAATACACATTATACTCATCAGCATGTGGAAGCTCTTCTAAAATAGGCCACATACTGGGGCAAAACCAAATATTTATAAATTAAAAAATATTTAAATAATTCCTTGTATCCTATCTGACCACAAGGTAATAAAACATAAAACTGACAGCAAACAAATCTCTAGTAAATGCAAAACTCATGGAGATTAAACAATTCATTACTGAATAATGAATGAGTCAGAGAAAAAAAATCAAAAAAAAGAAATAACCTCTTGGAACTAAATGAAAATAAAAATATAACACAACAAAACCTCTGGGACATGTAGAAAGCAGTCCTATGAGGGGAGTTTATGGCTCTAAATCATAAAGAGCACAAATAATGCAGTTCAAAAAGTTGGAAAAATAAGAACAAATCCAGTCAATGGGAAGAAATAATAAAAGTCAGAGCAGAAATCAATGAGATAGAAACAAAGAAAGCAGTGCATAAAACCAATGGGTCCAGTGCTAGCTCTTTGAGAAGACAAGCAAGATTAACAGACTGTTTGTGCAACTATCCAAAAGAAAGAAAAGGGTCCAAATTAAGAGACCCAGAAACTTATAGGGAAACTTTACAGCAGACACTAAAGAAATTCAGAATATAGTAAGATAGTACCTTAAAAACCTGTATTCTGTTAAGCTGGAAAACCGCAAAGGAATGAATGAATTTCTAGATTCAGTCAAACCACCAAAATTTAATCAAGAAAAATAAAGAACCTAAACAGACCCATAACAAATGAGGAGACTGAAACAGTCATAAAAAGCTTTACAGCTGGGGGCTGGAGAGATGGCTCAGAGATTAAGAACACTGACTGTTCTTCCAGAGGTCCTGAGTTCAATTCCCAGCAACCACATGGTGGCTCACAACCATCTGTAATGAGATCTGGTACCCTCTTGTACACACAATAAATAAATAAAATCTTTAAAAAAAGAAATTTAAAGGAAAATTAAAAAAAAAGCTTTACAGCTAAGAAAAAAAGAAGGTAGGGTCAGAGGATTCACAAAAGAATTGTACCAGACATTCAAAGATCTACAGTCAGTCATTTTAAATTCATTTTTAAAAAGTTAGAAACAAAAGGACTCTCCCACACTCCTTTTACGTAGCCAGTATCATAGTAATACCCAAATCAGGTAAAGACACAACAATAGAAAAGAAAACTACAGAGCAATATTCCTGATGAACATAGATTCAAAATGTTCAATAAAATATTTACAAACAGCCGGGCGGTGGTGGTGCACGCCTTTAATCCCAGCACTTGGGAGGCAGAGGCAGGAGGATCTCTGTGAGTTCGAGGCCAGCCTGGTCTAGAAGAGCTAGTTCCAGGACAGGAACCAAAAGCTACAGAGAAACCCTGTCTCGAAAATAAAAAAAAAAATATTTACAAACAGAATATACATATATATCAAAAAGATTATGTGCCATGAACAGGTTGGTTGTGTACTTATATGTAGGGATGATTCAGCAAACATAAGTAAATAAATGGTAATATATCACATAAATGGACTTAAAGATAAAAATCACATGATCATCTCAAAAAAATACCTTTGATAAAAATCCAAGATGCCTTCATGATAAAAGTTCTAGACAGAGTAGGTCTGGAGGAAACATACCTCAACATAAGAAAAGCTATATATGAGAAACCCTCAGCCATCACCATCCTAAAAACAGCTTGATGCAATCCCACTGAATTCAGGAATAAGACAAGGATTTTCAGCATCCCCACTCATTTTCAATCTTTTGCTCAAGTGATAGTTGAGGCAACAAGGCAAGAAAAAATTCAAAGGATAGAAATAGGGAAAGAAGATGGCAAGTTACTATACAGTAGAGATTCTAAACATTGTACCAGAAAGCATCTAGAAGCAATAAACAAATCCAGCAATGTGGCAGGATACAGAATCAACTTGTACAAATCAATAGCTTTTCTACACACCACCAACAAACATACAGAGAAAGAGATTATGGACACAATTCCATTCACAGTAGCCTCAAAGAAAAGAAAGCTTCTAAGAAATGAACTTAACCAAGAATGCATGTTGTCAAAGTTTCCTGTCCTACCAAGTCCTTGTTCTACCAGGCTTTTGTCCTCCCACCAAGTCCCACAGCCATTTAGTCCCAAAGAAATCACACAGAGGTCTGTATTAATGATAAACTGACTGGACCATTAGCTCAGGCTTCTTATTAACTCTTATAACTTATATTAACTCATTATTCTTATCTATGTTAGCTACATGGCTTGGTACCTTTTTCAGTGGCATAGTCACATCTTGCTTCTTCACTGTCTGGACAGGACTGCAGAGGGAGATTCCCTCTTCCCAGAATTCTCCTGTTCTCATTGACCCGCCTCTACTTCCTGTCTGGTTGTCCCATCTATACTTCCTGTCTGGCTACTGGCCAGTCACATTTATTTAAAACATAGTTGACAGGATATAGACAATTGTTCCTCACCACTATAGAGATTGTATTCTGTCTAGATAGGTAATCTTCAAACCACTTCAAGGATCTGTGGAACACGGCATTTAAATAACTTAGGGTTCTGTTGACATGAGACGTGATTGCTCCTGACAGCACTAATCTATTCCTGAGAGAATGTTGAGCACCAAAGACACTCCACTTGGAGCTTGTTTTCTTCTTGGCAAAATTGGCCTTTGGGCAAGGAACTGCCCATGCATTGACCACTGACAAAATGCATGATGTCCAGACAGAACAAGCAGGATACAAGAAAAAAAGACTGTCAAATCTTGCCAAGACAGGTTTTGAAAAATTTCCTGCCTCTGAAAATGGTCTGTAAATTATGCTAGGCCATAGCCAAAGTTGGTTGCTTCAACATTGCAAAATGAGACTTTGGGTGATTGCTCAGGTAGCTAATTGTCTCTGTCATATATTGCTCGCCTTGGACGCTACATGATTGTACTTCCTGCCTGCTCAAGTAATATTATCTCCCTTTTCAGGCCTTCGATGGGTTTGACAGAAGACAGGAGAGCACTGAAACCTGTTATTGTCAAAAATCTTACTCTTAATTTTTCCTATTTCTGTTTCATGTGTTTCAGTGGTCTCTATGATCTATGTGAATGTTTGTATCATTGTGTCTTGGGCCATTGACATGTTTACCAATAAAAACATCTCATTTCTCATAACCTTTTATTTAAAGTCTAGTTTTCTGAGCCATCCCCACTCACTTTGGGTTGTTATTTGCATGGAATATCTTCTTTTCATTTCAATTTATTTGTGGTTCTGTATCTAAAATGAGTTTCTTGTAGACAGCATATAGGTGGACAATTTGTTTTAATACATCCTTCCAACCTTTACCTTTTTGCTGTTGCAGAGCCAGTCTGCTTACATTTAAAGTAATTATAGGTAAGAAGGAGCTTACTTCTGTACTTTCCCCACGTGTGGTTTAGATTTTTCCCTCCTTTCTTGCATATGTTCTTCCATTGTCGTTAGTCAATTCTTGTAATAAAATGGTTCAAAGTATTTCCTTTTCCTTTTGTGTATATTTTATAGATACTGTCTTTGTAGAGATTACATTTAACCTTTTAAAGTTGAAACACTTGAATTTTATTTATACTAGATTAACTTCAATAACACACAAAACTCTGCTTTTTCTATCACTGCTACCCCTGCCTTTTTCAGCTTAAATTTTTATTATTTTGAGGAAGAATATCCATGCCACAGTGGACACGTGGAGATCCGAGGACAGCTTTGTGGAATTTGTTCCCTCCTCCCACCTTTCCGTGGGTCCCTGAGATTGAACTCAGGTTGTCAAGCTTGGGCAGCCCACTAACCTTTTTTCAGTTATTAAAATTGAAAAGTACAATTTTATGAATATAGTGTGTTCATCAAAGTATAAGCCAATAATAATTTTAAAATTCACTTGCTTCTTAAATTATGTATGAAAATGTAAAAAAAAAAGAAAATGTAGAGTTGCAAATCCAAGTTACAACATTAATTCTTTGACACTAACAATTTTTTAATAATGTATTTGCCTCTTAAAATTAGTTACTGAGGGCCTGGAGAAACGGCTCTTCCAGAGGACTTAGATTCAACTCCCAGCGCCTATATGATGGTGCACAACTCTCCATAACTCCAGTCCCCAGGAATCTGACACTCTCCTCTGGCCCCATGGCACTGCGTGCATGTGGTACACAGACATGCATGCAGGGAAAACACCCATATACATAAAGTCTCAAAAATTATGGAGTTCTATTGGTGTAATTGCTCATACATTTGCCTTTATTAAGACCTTTATCCTCACGTGACTTTAAGTCCATATTCACAGTCCTTCATGTCACTGGAAAGTGGGCTCCCTCTAGCGTTCCTTAGAGGACAGGACTAGAGGTAATGACCCTTGGCCTATCTGGGAAGCCTCAATTTCCCCATCACGACTCAAGTGTGTTTACTAGACGCAGGATTCTCTGTTGACAGAGAGAGACCCTTTCTTTTAATCTCTTTAGTCTGTCAGCCACTGAGAGTATCCTGGGTCGTGAGCCACTTTTTTTCTGCTGCCTCTGGGATTCAACATGGTTTTGGCTTTTGATATTTACTGCATCATGGATGCGTGAGGCTATTTTAGCTCATCTCGGGAGCCTATTGAGCACAGATGTTTATATATCTTTTATCAATTTTAGAATCTCTTTTTTTTGTCATATTTCTTTAAATATTCTCCCTGATTCTCTTCTTGTCCTGAGAGTTCTCCAGGCACATGTTGGTCTGCTTGACAAAGCCCCATGCATCCTGTGGTCTCCATTTTTATTTTAACTTTTTGTGGAAATAAGATCTTATCACCCGGGCTGTTCTGAAACTCAGAATTCTAAGGTCAAAGCATTTCAGATTCTAAAGCATCAGTGGAATGTGTCTTGGACTAATGAAGTATAAGTATCACACTACTGCAACAGATTTTACTAATTTAATGAGTTTTGCTCTTTGATCTGAAACATTACAACTAATGTGTAAACTTTGTGGCCACTTTTATCCCTGGCTACTCAGCGAATGGAAAATGTTTGGTGGTAACGTAGGGCTCCCCTTTGTGTTACAGCTCGCCACTGCCGCCTTGGATGGGAAACTTCAGCTCTTTGTGGCTGAGTGACTGCTGGCCTGACGATAAGAGTGCAGGATGAAATGAAAGCCTTCGTGACTTGCCATGGAGGCAGATGGGGCAGTTTTTGTAGGGGGCCCTTGCTGGATTCCCCTTCTGCAGGACTCACCCTCCTCTGAAACCATAGCCCATCTGTGCGGTTATTCTTCAATAAAGATGAGTCGGTGTCTGTTTCCTGTTGGTACCTTTGAGAGAAGGAAGGGTGGGGGAGCCTGAAGCAGCACTGGACTCTGCAGAAGCCGGGTCATCTTATTCTGCACTCTGCCATTTCTCACTTCATGCATCCTGCCGGGGCAGCTGCACTGGAGGGTGCAAGCTGACAAGGGAGTCATGGCCTGATACTGTCCTCCTTGATGTCCCTCTGTGGTTTCTTCAGGATGAACAAGGCCCAGGGCACAGAAGATGGACACCATACTCAGTTTGGTCTTCTCAATCTCTAACGGGAGGTTCTTATGATTCCCTTTGGTATTTGAAAGATAAAATGATTCATGTTCTGGGGAATATGTCATGGTTTGCTCAACACTGGCACATCCATGTGTTTGAAGACATCAAAGCAAGAACGTGGTCGTGGTCCCAAGCCTGGCCACAGAGGGATCTGGCCCAAACCTTCTGTTCATTTTCCCCATTCCCTTGCAAGGCTTTCTTTGCAGATGTGGGCCCCATTCTTGCCTCCAGCTTAAAGAGACTGCTCTGCATTCCAGGCCTGTCTGGGAGGAAGCTGGCCTTTCCTGTCTAGCGTGAAGGTTCTCTGTGCTGTGCATACACCAGGTGGCTAGTGGGGAAAAGACGAAGTGTACGTACAGGTACAGGTGTCTGTGGGTCTCAGGGGCATGCAGGCCACAGGCGACAGCCCCTCAGAAGCTCACTGTCAGTATTACAGCAAAACCGAACTGTTGGCGTGTTGGTTGCCTGACCACATTTTAACCACAGAAATTTCTCGCTTAAAGGAGTGAGCGTAAAACTATGTCTTCACTGCCTTGTTCTTTTCTCTCTCATGTCTTTTATTCCCGTTTTTATTGCCTATCAAAGTTTGCCCATATTCTAATTAGGATCAACTTTGATTTGTTTCTTCTGTGTAAGTTCCCCTGTTATCCCTGAGTTTGCTGGGGCATAGCTCCATGGTGCCTTGCACGCTGAGTTCATGACATTTGCTGGCACCGAAGAGGTTGAGAACACTCCACATACATGGGGAATTTTCTTTTTGGTAAAAAATTTTCCCAGATGAGTAGGTGACCATTTATGGTAGCTGTTGGGGCTCTTAGTCCCTTGGCGCCTGAGGCCTCAAGTCATCTCCCACTTACTGATGCCTGAGTCTTACTAATCTACTTACTGCATGCACTTGAACTCATAAACAGTGTGTTTTAAAAAATTGAGAGTTGAGTGCCCCTTTCTCCTTTCATTATGACATCATAGATTCCAGAAAGACAAGAGCTGAATAGACATAGCACAGGTAGCTCGGAAGAGAAGTGATACAAATTTGTCTAACTGCTGAAGGGGGTGTCTGCAGTGTTTGGAGTGATCAGGAAACTGAACATGGGCAGAAAGGATGGTCACTCACATGGGGACAAGCAAAGCAAAATGACGATGAAGACAAGGACAGGACGGCTGTACCTGGGCCTCGACCAGGGAGTCTGGGGGGGGGCATCTGCACTGATTATTTTATGACTCTTGACACTGATTTATATAACAGTTACATTCATAGAAATGTTATATTCTCTCTGTGAATCTTGGAAAAGAGGATCAACTTATCTCTTTCTAAACATGAACTGCGGGAGTCTGACATTCCCTGTGCTGGAGCTGTGGAGCCCCCTAGACAGTCCCACCCAGGTAGGCACCAGTTAGTGCACAGTTTATAGAGGGCTGGGGCAGAAAACATCTTCCTGAAGAGGGCAAGCAGCTCTTCTGTCCTTTGCCTGGCCTGTCGGGTGGGGTCAAAGATGACAAGTCACAACCGAAGAGTCTCCACGTGGGACTGTAGTGTCCCACAGTGAGCGGCCTTGGTACCTACAGCATCTGGACCACTGAAGTCACAAGGGCTGTTGCCCTTTGAATTACAACAGAAGCTGTTTACAAGAGGAACTTCAGGTTGAGGTGCCATGTGCTAGCACCGCAGCAACTGGGACTTCACGCCTCCAACAGAGCACTGTGCCTAAGACTGTGCCCTCCACAGCCTTTGTGAGGACTGGGTTTCCTGGGGGACCACCACTCAGGCTGATGTCAAGGACTACTGCTCTGGTTTTTCTCCAAGAGTACAGAAGAGGAGATGCTGGTGAGTGTGAAGTCTGGAAGAAAGGTGTCAATGAAAACATTGATGCAAATGCAGATTTAAAAGACTGCGTTAGTTTCTACCCCAGATACGCAGACACCATTTCACCTTTGAATTAGGTAATGGCCACCTGTTTCTCACTCTACTTTGTTCAAATATCATTGTAGTTTTATGAGATGATCTTGTGGTTTGAATCTGAAGTAGCCCCACAAGATAAATGTTTTGAATACTTGTTCCCAGGTGTAAGCACTATTTGGGAGGCATGTCCACTCACTGGGCTGCATTTCAGAAAATAGTGCTTTTTGTAGCCTTTTTCTTTTGCCTCAGCAATCTCAAATGTGAGCTTTCTCGGGAATTCCCTGGAGCGTGTCCAGAACCTTTGTATACATTATCCTTCGTGTGAGGCAACAAGTCTGACTGGAAACAGGAGAGAAAACAAGAGGCTTTTCTAGAACGAATGAGTGAACTTCAGTTTCGTAAACTGTAGAAGCCGGTCGCCATCTGTCCGGTCTGTGCAGGACATGTCTTTTGTGTCCGTGGCTCTGTATGGGGGTTGCTGGTGCCAAACACTTAGCACAAACTGCCGTGTAACCAACTATCTTACAAGGTGAAGCCTTTGAAACGATACAAGCTTTAAAGGCAAACGACTCTACCGGTCGACCAAAAGTCTACAGCCTATGCCTTCACTCCTGCCCTCTGAAGCTGAGGTGGGCTATAAAACCGTATGATAATAGGAACAGTAGATGTTTGGGGGAATGGACATGAGCTTACCTGATCGTTTATTGTTCTATTCCCTCTGAAAGAGGGCCTTATACCCTGGCCCACTCTGGATAAGCTCCCCATGGATTGCTTCTGGGGAAATCTTTCATGTCTAGTTATGTTCTGGTTTCTCTCCTACTACCTTGCAAGCTGTGAGCCCAGCTGAGCTTCTATGTTGGCCCAGGCTTACAGTGCTCTCCCCCCAGTGACTACAGTACAATCTGTGGGGCTGTTTGTAACAGGCACCCAGGAATGCCCTCAAGGACACTGTGCCAGTAAGGCCAACATTGGTGCTCATCCCCTCTTTCCTGGCTGTTCATCAGCGTCCCAGTGCCAGACTCTTGTGACAGTTCAGGTGAATACTCTATGCTAGGTGCATCACCTGTCCCAACCAAAGCTGTGCCGCAGAACCTCCAGGGCACTTGGCACGGTTCCTCCTTGCCTTCCTGAGGTGAACAGCCCTAGTTTTAGTCTGTGTCACCCTCTACGGGATTCCCAGTCTGTCACCTAAACCATTTCATATGAATTGGCTCACAAGTATGTCTGTGTGTGTGTGCGTATTTATTTATTTATTTGGTTTTCAAGACAGGGCTTCTCTGTCTAACAGCCCTGGCTTTCCTGGAACTCACTCTATAGACCAGGCTGGCCTCAAGCTCACAGAGGTCTGCCTGCCTCTACCTCCGGAGTGCTGGGATTAAAGGTGTGTGCCAGCACTGCCCCGCTGGCTCACATTTTAAGAGCACAGTCCCCACAGTAGCACATGCCACCCAGTCTCTGCCGTAAGCCCACGCGACAGTTTCATTGCAGTGACTCAGGAGGTTATGGTGTGCTGTAAGGTTTTAATGCCTGCAAATATTTATAACAGTAACATTTTTAATTTTGAAAACCACTCCTAATCTTTCATGTTATAATTATGACCGATACTATCTGAATGGTGCTGTCTGTATATGACCTGAACACCAGAGTTGATTGTTCATTACCATCAAACCAGTCCCTGGACACTCTTGCTTCTTCCCACTGAGCTGTCTGCCAGGTAAAATCTTCAGCCATGATTCCATATTCAGAAAATATTGTTTAGTGTGAATATATAAAAGTAACTAATATTTTAATTAATATTTTGTAATTTTTACTATGAAACATAGTAGCAAAGGCTTTATTTAATATTGATTATTGTATCAGGTACTCCAAAGTAGAGTTTCCCTGTGATATTTCCATCTACCCTTCTCCACTTCTTTTCTTGGCCTCTTTAATTAGCCACTTGTCTAATTTTAGTGGAATTTTATATTGAACTGTTATTGTCTTTGAAGATATTTAAAGCAATATTTATATCTGAAGACAAAAAGATAAAGCATTTTGTTTAAAAAGTATTATAGTAACTTATATAATCAAAACTAGTTTATCAGAATTTGCTTATGGCTATATAAGTGTGTGTGTGTGTGTGTGTGTGTGTGTGTGCATTTGTGTGTTTGAACCTGGGTGTGTTGGTGCCACAGTGAGTGTGAATATCAGATGAAAACCTTGAGTGTCAGTCCTTACCTTATACTTTTTTGAAAATAGGGTCTCTGTGGTGTTTTTCTACTGTATGCACCACACTAGCTCGCCCTGGAGATTACAGAATTAACAAATGAATTTAAGATGCCAGTCCTGAGGTTACGCATTTCATAGCCAAAGCTATGAGGCCTCGCACATTTGTGAGCTCACTTCTGTGTTTGGGTTAGGATAGAACATGTCCTTTGTGTGACATGTGAAAGATGCACATACAGAACAAGACACATCTAGCCCTCAAAGTGTTAAGTCTGTGACAGAGGATGCCACCATCCACGCAGACTGTCCAGTCTGTGACAGAAGACACCTCCAATCCAGCAGGCTGAGCAGTGAACACACTCCAGCAAGAAATACCATTTTCCTGATGTATTTAAGGGTTGTGCTTATTAGTTTTTGTCAACA